GAGATCTTTGATTTTTTAATTATATAGTAGCTAAACTAGATTCGTTACGTTTACTTTACATTACAGAAACCTAAATATTAAAATTAAAACAAAAGCACAACAACAACAAGTTACATACGTATGTTATTGTTGCTGCGGCATCAAGTTATGGATTAATTAATAAACAACCCACTGTGTATGGAGCACAGACACACCTTTCGTTTAAAACATTTTTCATAGTCAACAAAACAATTTAATATTATTGTTGCTTTTTTTCTCCATTGATCTTAATGTTGTTTCGATGAGACCCATCCCTCCCTCCCTTGGCAGACAGTTTGAAAAAAGAAAAAAAACTAAATGCGGTAGTTAAGAAATGAACATGCTGCGGCATTAGCTTCGGCTGCTGTTACTGATGATGATCTATAATTAATAATTTTTATATGTTGCCCTGAAAAAACAAACATTTGAATAATTAATAAAATTAATATTTAAAATAAATGTATTTGTTTATTTGTTAACATTTAAATAATCACTGTATAAATCACTGGGAAATTCCTAAATATCTCAAAAATTCTTTCAATCTCTTCTATAGGTACATTTAAAAGAGGGTTTGTCATAATTTTTATTTTAAATCAGATTTTTTCTAATTAAAAAAAAATGTCTTTATGATTTGCTCTAAATACTTTTGTATCTATGAAAAACTTGAACGACCTTTTCTTAAATCTTATTATTTGTCATGTGACTTGTGAGTAAAAGGGAAAGAAAGAAAGAGAGAGAGAGTATTTGTTTATTTTGTTTTATTACATGATGGATTATTAAATAAGTACTCTTATTATGTATTTAAGTCTTGTATCTGGTATCTGTATGTTTTTTAGAGTAATTCCCTTTGCCATATCTCTCCTCTGGGTACGCATGTGTTTGAGTTACGAGTAAATGTTACGAGTTTTATTGAGATTTCGGTTCCTTTGATTTGACGTTCTTGTCATTTCATTTTATGTGTATTTATTTACATTGTTAAAGGTAAAGAAATTGTATAAAAAATAACTTATATTAAATCTACTCTAATTACTTTATGACAAGTCTTTACACATCCAAACATCGGCTTCTCTTTAAATTAAAAATTCCAGTGAATTTTTTCTTTAAATACCCCTCATAAAATCTGTCACTTTTACAAACATTCAAAATTCCACAATAATATTTTGATGAGATAAAAAACATGAAAAATATGATTTGCTCTATGATTTTATTTTTTCTTTTAGAGGCAGACATTTGGGCGTTTCAAACTATTTATACTTAATAGTTTAATATTTGTGTTTAGAAAAGGGATATCAACGTGTTTTTTTTTTTATATTAATGGAGTGTTTCATTAAATTGAATTTGTTATCTCAAAAGGTGGGTAAATTATAAACCGAAATGTGTGATTTGTTTCCTGCAGGACTTTTAAAATAACGTGAAAATAAGCATAATACTATACGAAAATCTGCATTATACTTCGCAAAAAAAGCAGACTAGACTAAAGACTAGAATATAGCTAGAATATAATCTAAAGATTATAGACTAGACTATGGAATAGAGACAAGACTATAGACTAAACAATAGGCTAGACATTAGTCTGTAGACTGTAGACTATGCTATAGACTAGACTATGCCTTAGACTAGACTATAGACTAAACTTTATACTAGATTTTAGATTTGACTTTAGACTAGACTTTAGACTAGACTTTAGACTGGACTTTAGACTAGACTTTAGACTAAACTGTATACTATACTATAGACCAGAATATAAACTAGACTATAGGATAAACTATAGACCAGACTATAAACTAGACTATAGACTAGACTATAGACTAGACTATAGACTAAACTTTTGAGTATATTTTAGATTTGACTTTAGACTGGATTTTAGACTAGACTTTAGACTAGACATTAGACTAGACTATAGACTAGACTAAAGACTAGACTATAGACTATGCTATAGACTAGACTAGGCTTTAGACTAGACTATAGACTAAACTTTAGATTAGATTTTAGATTTGACTTTAGACTAGACTTTAGACAAGAAATTAGACTAGACTTCAGAATGGACTTTAGACTAGAGTTTAGACGAGACTTTAGACTAGACTATAGACTAGACTATAGACTAGTCTATAGACCAGACTATAGACTAGACTATAGACTAGACTATAGGCTAGACTATAGACTAGACTATGGGCTAGACTATAGGCTAGCCTAGTCTTAGAGGAACTCGCAGATGATATTGTAGAGTGTATTGATTATAAACTAAACTAAAGACAAGACTGTACACTAGACAATAGACGGAACTGTAGATTACTATATAGTGTAGACTATTGACCAGACTATAGACTATAAGCTAGACTATAGACTAGACTGTAGGCTAGACTATAGGCTAGACTATAGGCTAGACTATAGACTAGACTATAGACTAGACTATAGACTAGACTATAGACTAGACTATAGACTAGACTATAGACTAGACTATAGACTAGACTATAGACTAGACTATAGACTAGACTATAGACTAGACTATAGACTAGACTATAGACTAGACTATAGACTAGACTATAGACTAGACTATAGACTAGACTATAGACTAGACTATAGACTAGACTATAGACTAGACTATAGACTAGACTATAGACTAGACTATAGACTAGACTAGACTAGACTATAGACTAGACTATAGACTAGACTATAGACTAGACTAGACTAGACTAGACTAGACTATAGACTAGACTATAGACTAGACTATAGACTAGACTATAGACTAGACTATAGACTAGACTATAGACTAGACTATAGACTAGACTATAGACTAGACTATAGACTAGACTATAGACTAGACTATAGACTAGACTATAGACTAGACTATAGACTAGACTATAGACTAGACTATAGACTAGACTATAGACTAGACTATAGACTAGACTATAGACTAGACTATAGACTAGACTATAGACTAGACTATAGACTAGACTATAGACTAGACTATAGACTAGACTATAGACTAGACTATAGACTAGACTATAGACTAGACTATAGACTAGACTATAGACTACTAGACTATAGACTAGACCTATACTAGACTAGACTACTATAGACTACACTATAGACTATACTAAAAACAAGACTGTAGACTTGACTGTAGATTACACTAGAGACTAGACTATTTATTGGAGACATGACTGTAAACTTGACTTATAATATGCTATACAATAGGCTATAGACTTAACTTAAGCTAGATTATATACTTGGCTATAGACTAGATTTTAGACTAGGCTATAGTCTAGACTGGACTATACACATGACTACAGACTAGACGATTAGAGTATAATATATAAACGGGACTGTAGACTACACTAGAGGCTAAATAATAGACTAGACCTTAGACTAGAATATAGACAAGACTTTTTACTAGACTATTGGCTAGACTTTAGACTGGACTTGCAACGACACTACAGACTGTAGACTTATGTTTAGACAAGCTTGCTTATACTATGTTATAGACTAGACTATTGACCATAATATTGCCTATAGGCTATAAACTAGACTATATTCTATAGAGTAGGCTTTAGACTAGAAAATATACTAGGTAATGTACTAGACTAGAGGCTGGACTATAGGTACGACTATAGGTTCGACTATAGACTTAGCTATAAACAGAACTATCTCTAGAAACAAATATAGCTACATTCATATATACTGACTATATCCTAGAATATTTACTAGACTGTAACCAGTATTCCGTTGATTCTGCTATATTACCACGATAAGTCACCTTCTTACAAAACGATAGAACTAGTTACATAAACATCGGTTCACTTCCTATTCTCTTATTAAATGTACAGCATTCAATGTTAAACTTCCCCCAAGCTTTCAAAAACGGTGAAATTTTCTGTATAAGATTTTCATTTCCATTGACAAAAATTAAAAGTTTTACACAATTTTGTTGTTTTTTTTTAGATTTTTTTTATTATTTTTAAAATGTTTAAATTTTGAATTTAAGTAAATAATTATAAATAATAAAATTTACAAAATGAAAACTTATTACAATTAAACAGAAAAATAATAATAATTATAATTATTAAAATAAAAATTTAAAATTAACATTACTATAGACACTTTGAATGTATATTTTATTTAAATTTTTTTTTTTTTTTTATTAAATGTTAAAGTAATATTTTTTTCGCAGTTTTTTTTTTTTTGTTTTCATAACCTAAACAAATAATTTGTTTATTTATTAAGGCATTTTGTAATTAAAGTTTGTTTTTGTTTTTTTTTTATTAATATTTATTTATACTGATGACAATTAAAATTAAAAACTTAATTATATAAAAAAAAAATAATAAATCAATATTAATTACTAAAAAAAAGTTAAAGAGCAAGTAAGGAGTTAAATGATAATAAGGGTGTAGTAGTGGAAAGAGTCAGAAGACAGGAAACGGAAATTTAGTAGAGTAAGAATAATTGTTATGTAGTAAAAAAAGAAATTTACATATCAACAGTAATACTTTTTTTTTAATTATATTTATAATTATTATATAGTTTTTGTTGTTGTTGTTTTTGTGGGGCTGATAAAAGTTAGTATAAATAGTTTTTTTTTTTTGATGTTTTTGTTTTTTCATGTTGTTAAAAAGTATTGGATATTTTTAATATTTAATACAGGCAAGAGTTTTAGCAGCTTTTTTTTTTTACTTCAACTTCTTTAGTTAACTTTAATAGTTTGGTGTCAAAAACTGGAGTTATGGGGATTTTTAAAGGATCGGCTTCAAGTTGCAATAGCGATGATGATGATTTTGTTGTCTAGTTGTTTGTTGTAACTTATGGATGTATGGTTCTGTAAACATATTATTTAAGTAAATTGGTTAATGCGCCTGCGCATTAGTTTTAAGTTTGTTTTAAGTCTTGCTTTAAGAATATTTGTGAAAAAAATATTCAAAGAAGATTTTAGGCAGTTTTTTTATATGTTTTTTAAAATGTATATGTAAGATATTGCTGTTAAGTTTTTTTCTTCTTCTTCTTATATATTGATTTAGTATTCGCAGACAGTATATACATAGTGTTTAATGTTGTGGTTGTTGTGCTGTTGTGTTGTAACCAAATGTTTTCTAAGCCATAAAACATCCATAATAAACGCCCGCTTAAAGTCATCAATATTCCCTTGAGAGAGTAATTTTGACTTTATGTCATCAGCCAAGTGTTGTCAAATGAAACCATCACCTTTTGACAGTTGTTACGACCAAAAAAAAACCCAAAAAACAAACACCACACACACTTTCACCCAATGGTTTAGAATAACAACCACCCACCTTAAGCTCAGCTTATTTAGCATCATGATCACCGACATTATCATCATCGTTATTATCATCAGTGTCACCATTAGCTTTTCTTTTTGCTGTGATCATTTCCATAATGTTTAAGCTTTAGTAGGGCTTTAGATAAATAGTTAAACCAGCCACCATAGCAGTTATTTTAAGAAACCATATGATCTTTTTTTATGATCTTTAGAAGGAATAAAATGTGTGTGTGTGTTTCAAATGGTTATTTTTTTACATATGAGTGATTGCTGTTGTTGTTGTTGAGTTGCATATCTTTGACCATACTTAGAGTTGGTGTTTCTTTTTTAAAACTTTTAATTATTTCTACACTATTTTATGTTGCATTTTTATCCAAAATTTATCTTTTTTTTTGTAAATACTTAAAGGTGTTTTATGATTATTGTTGTTTTTTGTTGTTGTTGTTGCAGTTGCTGTGTTTTTTATGTATACATATATGTAAAGTGCGTGGTAAATAAGTGGTGACATTTATTTAAAAAAAAATGGTGCTTTACAACAAAATATAGTAGAATAGTAGAGTAATTTATCGCCAGACACACTGACTACATCTAGAAAAAAAAAAGGAAAAAGGAAAAAAAAATGTCAATTAATAAATAAGCATTTAACTAAAAGCCCCATTACTAACTACCGGTATATAGTAAAGTAAATAGTTAGCTTAATATATAATAAATTTTACAGTGTTTTTCATAAAAAGTTAAGGTATAATTTGGAATATGTTAAAAACCTTTAAGTAAAAACATTTAAAACTTTCAAATAAACAAAGGTTTTGAAATTTTTCTTAAACCTTAATCTTACTTATCATCTACAGATCAGCTAAAGTGAAAATCTTATAAAAGTTATTGTATTTCTCAAATTTCCAAGTTAGAACACTTTTTACGCTGAATCATCATATTTTCAAAATTATTAAAAGGCGTTATTTTTGGAGTGTTATAAGATTTGAACCATTTAAAAGATTAAGTTTAATCATATACAGAAATAGACATGATTATATTAGCTTTCAGATGACACCATATTTATTAAAATCCAATGATGCAATCTAATGTTAAGAGAGATTTAAGTTGAGTTATAATTTTAACAACAGTTTCAAAATATTAAATTTTCTAAAGCCTATAACTTAAAAACAAGGTAATTTGTTTAGAACAGCAATAAAGCAATTGAAAGCTGATTATATCAAAAATATATCTAGTTAATTTTATTAGAATTGGAAAGAGGGTTTGAAATTATATACATTTGAATTTCATTCTAAAATGCTTGGTGTTAAAACATTAATAAAGGCCGTTTTTTTTGGAGTGTTATAAGATTCGGACCATTTAAAAGATTAAGTTTAATTTTAAACAGAAATAGACATGATTGTATAAGCTTTCAGATGACACCATATTTATTAAAATCCAATGATGCAAACTAAAGTTATAAGAGATTTAAGTTGAGTTAATTTTTAACAAAAGTTCAAAATATTAAATTTTCAAAAGCCTATAACTTAAAAACAAGGTAATTTATTAAGAATAGTACTAAAACAATTGAAAGCTATTTACTTCAATAATATATCTAGTTAATTTTATTAGAATCGGTAAAAGGGTTTTGAAATTATATAAATTTGCAATTTATTCAAAAATGCTTAGTTTTAAAAGCTTAATAATGGCAGCATTTTTGGAGTGTTATAAGATTTGAAGCATTTAACATATTATGTTTAGTCATATAAAGAAATAGATATGATTATATTAGCTTTCAGATGACACCATATTTATTAAAATCCAATGATGCCATCTAAAGTTATAAGAGACTTAAGTTGAGTTAACTTTTAACAAATGTTTCAAAATATTCAATTTTCAAAAGCCTATAACTTAAAAACAAGGTAATTTATTTTGAACAGTATTAAAGCAATTTGAAAGCTCATTATAACAAGAATATATCTAGTTATTTTTATAAGAATCGGGTGAGGGGTTTTGAAATTAAATACATTTGAATTTTATTCTAAAATATCAAGTTTTAAAACTTTAATAAACATATAACTATTAACATTTTGAAGAAAAATTATATGTTAACTGAAAGTTAATTAAATAAAGAACAGTTATAACAACTTTTATAGAAATCTATATAAGGGTTTTGATTTTATATTAACTGAAAGTTTTAAACATTGTCAGCCCTCTTTGGAAAGCCAAGTGAGAGATAATTGTTTTAAAAAATTTAATTTCTTTTTAAAATCTCTATTATTTTAACAAGTTTGCTAATAGATTATAACAGAAAATTATATAATTTTCAATTTTGAAAGTTAAATATAGGAAAATTTTGAATTTTTTGGGTAGAAAAATACTCATTTTTTTTGTTATTAATTTGTAGAATAACACGTGGTGAATAAAAATTTTAACACTTTTCTTTTGTTTTAAAAAAAATCCTTATAAGGTTTTTAACAATATACAATATACACCATATTTTAACAAAATGAAATATCAAATAAATGACAAACTTACCTGTGTTGTCTGAGATTATCACGTTGTTTGAAATATTTGCCGCAGACCTCACAGGAATATGTGATTTCTGGTGATTTGTGGGTACGTTCGTGTATCATTAAATTGTACGGTTTGGTAAAACGCCGCTGGCAATACTTGCAAATGAACTCACACTTCGGACGCATCTTGCGACGAAAGTCCGACCGGCAGTCATCATTGTCGATTCTCATTACAGCGAACATGGTGCTTAGTAGTGCTTTTTTTTCTTCTTCTGCTGTTGTTGTTGTTTTTTTTTCTACTTTTTCACACTAATACACACACAAACAACAGATGTTAAAATACAAAAAAAAAGATAGACAACGAGGACACACAAATGAAATAAACAAAGCAAACAAACAAACAAACAGTTAAATCAAGCTCACTCACAATTGTCGTGTGTAAATCACACAGTTAAACCGTTATAAATTTACTCTACTCTATTTTTTTCTATTCTATTTCTAGAGTACTTGCGTATATGATTACGTTGTGTATTACTCTCTAAAGTAGTTGATTATTATAATGGTATTAGTGTAATTGTTTGTTTTTATTGTTGTTGTTACTTTTAATACACTCTTTCTTTTATATCCACTAACACTGTGTGTTTTAATTGTTCTTTATTTATTTTGTTATTAGAATTTCTTGTTGCTTTTTTAATCAAACTGATAAGAATGATTAATCTTGGGGGTTTTTTTTATGGCGTCGGTATGTTTTTTTACTTATTTGTTGTTTTTATTTTCGTAATTTTTTTATTCTGATTGGCTCGTTGTTGCGCGTTGTACACGGTTTGATGTTTGAAATGTTAGTGTTGAATTGTTTGTGGTTCTGGGTGATAACAACCGTTATGAAGAGAGTTGCTGACAGTGTGACGTGTTATTTCAAATGCTTGATTTAAACGCCTTTTTAGCACTTTTGTTATTGTTGTCGTTGTTTTTTTTTTAGATTTCAACTAGTATGGCGTTTGTAAAATTGTTTGTTGGTGGTAGTTTTTTTTTCAAAATAATAATAATGGTGGGCGTTGTTATAGTTTTTGTTGTTTTTCAACTTGCCAGTCTGATTGGCTGCAAATGTCACTAAAAAGAATCTGTAAAAATACAAAAGAAAACAATAAAAAATTAATAATGATTTAATCAAATTTATATGCGTAGGACTTTTTTATTTTTAACTAAATGTTTAATTTGTTGTACCATTTATACAAAAAGAAACATAATTTAAAACAAAAATACTTCAACAGAAAATTGTTTCAATACAAGGCAACTGTTTACTTCAAAGTGTTTAATTTAGCTATAGCCAGCAACTTTTGTAATAGTTGTAAATACAAAACTTTCTTCGAAATAAATGCATTAATAGTATTTTGTTGCTGCAACTGAAAACATTTAGTTGTTACCAAAGAATTATTCATTTGTAGCAACTAAAACTGAAAAAAAGATTGCAAAGTGAGTAATATAGCAAATAATTTGTTTGCATTAATAATATTTAATTGCTGCAACTGAAAACATTTAGTTGTCAGCAAAGAAGTATTCGTTTGAGCCTAATAAAACTGAAAAAAGATTGCAAAGTGAGTAATATAGCAACTGGAACCAATTATTGTAATTGTTGCAATAAAAATCTTGATGAGAAAACTTTAACATTAATAGAATTTTGTTGCTGCAATTGAACAATTTAGTTTAAATCATTACAGCGATCAACTTTTGTAATTGTAACAATAATCTTTATTCAAAAACTTTATTTTAATAGTTTTTTGTTGTTGCAACTAAAAAATTTAGTTCTTTGCATAAAATCATTCGTTTGTTACAACTAAAACTGCTGTTAAGTGCAAAAATTTTTAAAGATTGTGAATCAAATTTGTTTAAGGAAAATTTTCCTCTCATTTTAAAAGCAATTATTTTATAATTTTATAATAAATTTAATTTATTTGCTGCTTTAAGGTGTGGCCTTTATTTTGATTTTATTACCGTTTTTTTTTTTAGAAATTTTATGTTATTATTTTTTTTTTTTTTTTTTTTTGTTAATTTTTATTGTCATTTATTTACACCAATTGTATGCTTAAGAATCATTGATCAACTGTTATAAACAACAGGTATCTAAAGAATATTACGTACTAAATAAAATTCTCCTGTAACGTTACTGTCTGGTATTTTATTAAAACTTTGTCAAATTCTAAATTAATAAACATCTCTTAATGCCGTTCACTGCTTTAGACTGTAATAGAATTTAAGTAATTTTCGAAAACAAAAAATGCTTAAAGGCAACACACAAACTTGTTGGCCTCCATCAAAGAATAAATAAGAAATGAAACTGTTGTCAAAAGTACCTAAGTCTACTGTCATCCGGTACCTAACTCTAAGAATGTATTAGTAGAATTCTCAAGTCAACATAGTTGCAAAAAATCGTATTGAAAAATATTGAAAAAAAATATTACATTTCAATTTATATTTTGAAAGGTTTCTTAAGATATTTTCCACATATTTTATCTACAAACATTTTATAAACACGTCTATTTGATTTTTAATCTATAATATTGAAAAAATAAATTATTTATTTGAAATATCTTTTTCGGTTACCATACGAAAATTTACAACATTGTTTTTTTTTAGTTTTAATTTCAACCAACAAAAATTCAATGTCAAAAAATAAAAAATATTTTATTTTCGTTTGTAAAAATATATTATTTTCGGGCTATTAAATATGTTTAAATTGTGCAAAAAAAATATAAAATATAATGTTAAGTGATGAAAAATATTTCAAAGTGCTATTATCCTCAAATTTTCGCGAAAAAGTTTTGAAGTTGGGAGAGAGAATAAAATTTTTACATATGTGTTGGATTTACACAGCACTCGTCTGTGAGAAGAGCGTAATGTTATTGTTGTAAAAAAATGACAGCGTTTCACTTCTTGTTTATTCTTTGGCCTCCATTTTTAACATTCCACAAAAGGTTCAAACTGAAAAAAACCCAAATAAATTTGTACCAAAATGTCATTTTTTTAAATTAATTTAAGACCATTTTAAAAAAATTATTAATTTTTTTGAATTGACTAATAATATAGCCTAGTCTATAGTCTAGTCCATTGTCTAGTCTATAGTCTAGTCTATAGTCTAGTTTATAGTTTAGTCTACAGTCTTGTCTATAGTCGAGTCTATAGTCTAGTCTATAGTCGAGTCTATAGTCTATAGTCTAGTCTATAGTCTAATCTATAGTCTAATCAAAGGTTTAGTTTAAAATCTTGTCTTTATTCTAGTCTATAGTTTAGTCTATAGTCTAGTCTATAGTTTAGTCTATAGTCTAGTCTATAGTCTAGTCTATAGTCTAATCTATAGTCTATAGACTAGTTTATAGTCTAGTCAATAGTTTAGTTTGTAGTCTAGTCGATTGTCTAGTATGCAGTCTAGTCTATAGTCTAGTCTATAGTTAAGTCTTTAGTCTAGTCGACAGTATATTCTATAGTCTAGTCAATAGTGTAGTCTATAGTCTAGTCTATAGTATATAGTCTAGACTACAGATGAGACTATAAACTAGACTTTAGATTATATAATAGACTATAGACAACACTATAGACTAGACTAGATTAATAGTTAATCTAGTTAATAGTTAATAGTTTCGTTTATAGTCTAGTCTGTAGTGTAGTTTATAATCTAGTCTATAATCTCTTCAGTCTATAATCTAGACTAGACTATAGAGTTGTCTATAGTCTATTCTAAAGTCTTGTTTATAGTCTCGTTTCTAGTCTAGTTTACAGTTTACTTTATAGTCCAGTCAATAGTCTAGTTTATAGTCTATCCTATAGTCAAGTTTATAATCTAGTCTATAGTCTATTTAGTCTATAATCTAGACTATAGAGTTGTCCATAGTCTATTCTATAGTATAATCTAAAGTCTTGTTTATAGTCTCGTTTATAGTCTAGTTTACAGTCAAGTCTATAATCTAGTTTGTAGTCTAGTTTATAGTTTAGTCTATAGTCTAATCTATAGTCTAGTTCATATTCTAGTCTGAAGTATAGTCTATAGTCTACTCTTTAGTCTAGTGATCATTTACTTTAGCACTTTAAAACCTAAAAAGATCTCTCTCTGTTATACATTTATATCATTTCAAAATTTAAAATGTTCATGCCTGTTTTCCTCTCTCTTTATTTTGGTAATATCCATTTTATATCTCTCATATTGCTCATATCTCTGACTAAATCCCCTATCAAAACCCCTTGTAAAACAACTGTTAGTTGGCCTTCAACAAATGTTTCAACACACACATATGTATCTACAACGTAACTAATTTTCAGTTTAATTATCTATGACATTCTAATAGAACCGCTCATTCAAACGCCCGGTATTTTCATATCCAACTGTTAACCTAATGTAACATATTTAACAATTTAATTCTTAATTTTATTTCATCATTATTGTTTAACAGCAAAGCAGTAACTCCTTCATAATTTTCTTTAATAATTTCCTCTTAACGGGGGAACGAACCAGTTTAGACAGAACAAAAAATAAGAAGGAATTTTTTAAAACTGAATAACCAGAGGGGGCGCCTATTGCAGCAGCTATATTAAATATATAAAATGATTAACGGCGACAAAATGACCATGTGACGCCACCAGAGTATTAAAACTGGAGAACAAACGATCATATGATTTCAAATGATCTATATAAAGAGCCGTAAAGGAAACAAAACAAAGTAAGTAAATATGAATTTTTTTATAGTTCTTATTGTTTTTGGTTTCAAAATCTATATAATAAAAACCATTTAACGATTTATATAGTAAAAGGATTTTTTGTTATGCCAGTAAGAGAGTTAGGAGAGGGAGTAAGTTATAGGAACAATGAAAACAATAGCTGAGCATTTAGGCGTCTTTGGCGTCACCAATATAGTTGACTTGGTGTTACCCAAAAAACAGAAAAAAGATCTTATTGTGGGAGCTTTTTTTTATAGGGTTTTAAAAGGTTCTTTTTATTTTAGTTTTGTCAAATGAAACAAAAAGAATTTATCCCGCTGTGTGACCATAACAAAGTCACTCTTCATTTTGAAAAAGAAAAAACAATTTTTGAGAGTTTTGAAACAGACACCGAGCAGCTAAGTATTGAAATAATGTCCAGCTGTGCCAAGTTTAACAATATGTAAATGCGTCAAGTTCTGGGGCTGCATGTTATAAATATACAATTTTTATAATAATAAAAAAATATATAATGATAATAATAAGAAAAGAAGAAATATTTTGTGTGAAGTATGTGGATTTTTGTTGTTTTTGCTTTCAAGAAACAATGACAATCCTCTAAGTATCCAACCGTGAAAAGGCGCATAAAAAACAAAGGTTACCTACTTCCTCCTTATTATATTATTATATTTCTTTTTGGTAACCACTCATATGTTACTGAAAAGTCAGCAGTTTGTCTGGGGGATTCTGTTTTTTGTTTTTTTTTTTTTTTTCTTCAAGAGCAGGCTTCTTCATTTTTTTATGGATTTGCTTAACAAGCTGTTATGAATGTCGTAAATTGTTATAAATTTTGAAAATTTATGTTAAATCTTTTTCCAAAGGCATTAATGTTTATTAAACAAAAACCATAAATATATTCGAAAAAAAAAAAACAACCAAATCTTTTAGCAAGCGCCAGCAGGACAAATATTTTTATTTGCTGCCCCTTTTTTAACACAAAGCATTGTTAACGTTTTTTTTCGGGAAGGGGGATTAAAATATGTCTGTCTGAGGCTGCTGGTATTTTATTTTTTCGCTTGTCACTGGATATTTGCTTTATTTTAAGTTTTGTTATTTTGCTTCTGCAAAAATTTTGTTGTTTTTTTTTTAATATAATATCATGATGAAATCAAGCGATGATTAAGCCTCACAGCAGCAAGCCTTCTTACAAATGTTTCAAGGATTATACATTTTTGGTTTTAAAATTTATAATTTTTTTTTTTACTTTATTTTTTACAGTGGCTGTTAAATATAAAGAAAAAACGCTTTAAGATTAATAACAATTGATTAATGTAGTTTATTTGGTTGTTGTGTAAAAAAAAACAACACGAAATGAAATTTTGTAAATTATTTTAATGATCTTGTTTAATTTTTTATATGAATCACAAGAAACTTAAG